TGATAAAGATGAGCAGTTGCAGGATTACTTCCAAGCAGCTGGCTGCAACCATGACCCTTAGGCATGGGGCTATAAAAACCAGCCAAGACAGGCTGCCAAGCATGGACACAATGTGTACGATAGACGCTAAGCCACCGACTCTGCCTTGCTTAATTCTTGGAAGCCTGACCTTGGACTGAACAACCTTGCCTAGCCTGACTTCTGGAACCCAGGCTGAACAACCCCGCCTTGCCTGACTTCTGAAACTTGGTACTCAGAGCCAGCAAGCCAGTACAGTTTGCCTGTCTTTAAAGAAGTCTGTAGTGAAAGCTTGGTGACACAAAACTGAGACAGACCCCCCCCCCAAAAAAAATCTGAGTTAACACCTAAGAGCTGCAAAGCTAAGAACCCAAGGAGATCCTGAGAGAGGCTACATCTGAGTGGGAACATTTACAGCAATAGAACAAAATCTGAGTCCAGTGGCACCTTTAAGACCAACAAAGTCTAATTCTGGGTATAAGCTTTCCTGTGAAGCAATTTGTGATTACACTGATCAGAGCTCCATAGATCATTCTTGGGAATAATTCTACAGGAATTGTTTGGACATTCAGGGAAATATTTATCTGCTCAGTAAGTAAACACTGACTACACAGCATACTCAAGACAGGAACAGGTGATGTGCTAAGAAGTCACATGGGAGTGAGCCAGAATTGTTTAAGCTCCTTCTTCACCCATTCATGTGAGTGAGAACTGGCCTCAAGCAGATACTGCCAATTCATGCACAAAAGACTGTCTTCAAGAAGCTGTTTCAAATCGGTTACAGTCACACCAGGTACAATGAGAGAAATCGGAGGGGGGGGGTCTCAGCCATGGAAACTCAGATAAAGGGGGAAAGATGCTATGCTCTCCAATGCAGCAGGGGCAAAACTAGATGTGACTGTGGATACCTGCCTTCCTCCTCACCATCTCCGAGAAGATCCAACCTGATTCAGTACTTTGTATCTGAAGCTGAAAGTCTGGTTACTAAGCAGACTCACAGAGGTACCACATGATACACTAGTTATCACAATCAAACCATCTGATTAATTACAGTATCCTAGCAACAGCAAATGACCATGTTAAGCACACACACAAAAATACATTCTATTACCTCAGCCAAACCACCAAGTTTGTCTGTGTATACTTTGTGGTTATTTGCATTTGCTAGAATAGTCTGCATAATGAGCTGGTTTACTCCTAACTAGTAGAATGTGCCTTGATCCCACTGGAATCCTAAAAAGAACTTGGTGCCCTGCGAACCTCAAGGAGGAGCGGAGTGCAGTGTAACAAAAACAAACAGGCAAAACTAGAACACTGCCACTCAGAACAATGTGTATTCCAGGAACACACCGCTTACATCTGGAATTGTGTGTCAGAGTTTGGCATCAAGGAGATATTGCTTTTGTAAAAGAGCAAAAATGAATTCTTAATCCCCATGGCTATAGGGAGAATCTTAAAAGTAATATCTAGTGTATCATGTGGCACCTCTACCTTATTACAGTTCTGCAGGGCCTGTAAAATGGAGCTGTTCCGCCAGGCCTTTGGCTGAGGCATCAGATGTCTAATCTATCTCGGCCTCCTCTGCTTACATGGTTGTATTGCCGCAGTGTACAACGCCCATTCCGACCTGCCCTGCCTCTAGAGAACAACAAAGCACCGTCAGGCAACAGGGCCCTAGCTTCCTTCAGGAGGCACCCGAACTCTTGAAACAGTTCTCATCTTTACATCTGATTAGAATTTTATTATTGTTGTTCATGCATCGTATTGTTTTTAAAAGCTTTTAATTATTCAATGTATTGAAGTAATATGTTGTGACCAGCACTGAGCCTGCTTGTGGGGGAGGGCAGGATATGAATCAAATAAATAAATAAATGTAGCTATGACTGGCAAAGTCTGAGGCAGCTAATGCCCCTTGCCTCCACCATTTGGATGCCATCAAAAAACATTCTTGTGGGTGATGCTCAGGACATATTCCTCTTCGGTGCTATGGAGATCCTCCAGTGATCATAGGTCGCTTACCACGTGGATCGGCTCAAACATTATGGCCTTTCGTGCCATTCCATCAGATAATACAGGAGATGCAAACAAGAACTCCAGAGTCACATGATCACTAGAGGAAGCTAGTATAACTGACAAACTAATGTTTTCTATTTACTTATCTCGTATATTATCTTATCCTTCCTCCAGGGTTCTCCAGTGAACATGAAGGCAGAATGAGGATTTGAACTCAGGCCTCCTGGATCGTAGTCAGACAATCTAGTCACTATACCACACTCTCTCTTTGGCAAAGGCCTCTTTACAGCTCTTGAGTCGCTTTCAGTTTGTCCCATGATCTCACTCCTTCCATGGAGTGTGGTCTAGCAATCTGATTGACACACCTAGAATTATAATGCCAGACAGTAGCTTCATTTGAATTACTTTTATCAACTGAGGGCAAAAAAAAAGGGGGGGGGATGATCAGAAAAAATGAACTGGATCATTTCCTGGAGAGTCTGGGCATTCAAAAGCCTTGGTTTTCCACACAGGGCTATGGCTGAGGCAGATTTTAGCCACATTAGAGAACCAGGCACAATTTTACTGTGGCATAACTGAAATGGCCTGTAACAATATCTGTACCAGAAATAACCAAATCTTCACAGAAACTCTAATTTTTCTTCACCATTCACTTAAATCATCCAAGGTTAAAGGCTTCAACTATTCATGGTTATAACAAGCCAGAGGAGAGAAAGGTTTTTTTTAAATGATGCTGTGATTAGCACTCTGTGCCCAAATAACTGTTTTGAAAGGTAAACCTCAAACAAGTCAGGTATGATAGGATGCAGGCAGGGAGCTACAAACCAGGTTGGTCAGGCTCAGTCTTCTAACAAAGGACAAGAAATAGACTTTTATATCCCTTCAGTTTGGTTGGAAATCATGGCTGGTCACAGCTTTCAGCACTTGACAGGGTTTGGGGCATTAAGAGACCCACCCAAGAATCAGTACGTTCCTCTTTGCTTTTAGTTGGCAAGGGAGCTTGCTACTAAGGTCAGAGAGCAGGCAGGGCCTGACCTGCCCACACATCCTCTCACTGATCATGTTCCCCCACCCCAAGACAATTTGCCCTCCTCCCCATTTAAATGTCCCAAGGGCTCACGGAAACCTGGACCCAGCTTGGTTGGGGATCTGCCTGGGAAGTTTAACAGAAACCAGCAAATTCACTAACACAGAAGAGAACTGTGTGGAGAACTAAGGGCCAAATCAGACACGATGTTGGGAGTTCCAGTTCTGTGAGTGTGCTCACAAGCAATTTTTCTCTTTTAACAACCAGGTATTCAAGACACTGGATCGAGACAGCAGTGCAAGCAGGGAAGGAGGTAACAATTTGTCCCACTGTGGCAAACATATCTTTATGCAGTTCATACCAGAAGTGTCAAACATAAGGTCTTGGGGCTGCATCCTGTCTGTGAGGCTGTCACAGCCTGTGGGGCAACCCCGGTGATGTAGTCACCCTTTCAGCCATCCCAGCTGCTGCCACCACACTGATCACAGGCTCAGGACAAGACAGTTACTATAAGAGCATGCTGCTCTCATCCCAACAAAGCAATCCTACACAGACTGTATTTCCTTTCCCTTCTGTCTTCCCTAAGAAGGAAGAACACAGCTATTGGGCAGGCAAGCACTTCTGTTAATAAAAAGGTTACACTAAATAAATACGAACTGACATTACTATTGATATTATTTAGTACTAGTAGCTTCATTAAACAATAATTTAAACTTGAATTAAATTTATACTAATTAATACTGGTTTAATTAAATAAAATAAGTACCTTTTATGTTTGAATAATCTATGGTACACATGGCACAACTGAGTTATGCTTCTGACAGATGGGGCCCTCACACAAGTTCGACACTCCTGGTTTATAGAGTTTCCTTTAGAAGAAAACTGCCTGGGAGAACCTGTCTGACATGTACTACAAGTTACTATTTAGTGACTGCATAACAGCCACTGAAGTGGTATTTAATTCCAAACAGAAGTGAAGTGCGTCAACAAGTTATGCATGAGAAGAAATACACAGAAAAAATGCAGAACGTACTAAAGATTAAATTACCAATGCTATTAGGTGTTCTGCCCAACAAATTACCAAAAATTTTAGAAGAGATATTCAAATACATGTTGACAGCAGCTAGAACTATTAATGCAGCAAAATGGAAATTAGATGTCTGTCCATGTTCAGAAGTATGGGAAAATAAACTTGCTGCATATGCAGTAATGGCTAAATTAATAATCTTTTTGAGAAATAGCTCTATTACAAAATTTGAGGAGAGATGCAGTGTGTATTATGTGTACTATGCTGGCAGGAGACAAACGTAGAATGAGAAGCAGCCTAAAATATTATATACAAATGTATAGTAATGAAGTAGAAGTAGAATTAAAATCAGTTTTAAAGATAACACCTTGAATAAAAATGGGTTCATGATATGAGATAAATAACAGACCTTCCTTCACACCTTGATATGTTTTTTATCTGTTAACAGTTCTAACGAATATGTAGAAGTGGTGAAAATATGTAATGAATACGTAGTAATGATGGAATTAATGATGTAGTCAAAATAGATAATTATGAAGTTTGAAACGTAAACTTAAAATGAATACAATCGTATCCCAGTAAAAGAACTATTGTATATTACAGGTAATACCTTAAAAATTATAACGAAGGGGTTATAAGGGGAAATATTTTGTCTTATACATTTTGTATTATATGATTGTCCTCGATAAATGCAGTTATGTTGTATAACCCCTTTTTGCTTTCCCTTTTCTTTTCTGTACCCCCCACTGTCTTATTAAACAAATAGATTCTTTAAAAAGTAAGTTATGCATGAGAGAAAGATGAGCAGGTTCAGGGAAACTGGCATGCATGGCCAGCAGCATGGCAACCCTGTGCAATTATGTCATAGAATTCGCAGAAGAGGCACCACGCCCACAGAGGAAGTATGGTACTCACTGGAATTTTGTTTGGATGCTGCTCCCGGATCTGCTGCACCTCTTTACAACGATCCGCTGTGGAAAAGGGGGGGGGGGATGCCGATTAGTTTTCAAGAGGACACTTAAATTTGCAACCTCAGAGGATAAACACTTATTGCATGAGTACCTGATATGGTCCCCTCAGTGTTCGACTATTATGAGCAACATTAATTCCAAATTTACCCCATGTTATCTGGGCTGGCTGGAAAAATTCCAGTTGCCACAGCACCTAATAATTTACTGCTGACGCTGGGGCCACTAAGACCCACCACAGATCCTCAGACAAATATTCTCCCTGAGGCCCCCACCCCCAAGACTGCAATTCAAACACTATCTGAAAGTTAATTGCATGCAAAATTGCTCAGCTCCATGAGCTTCAAAGGTGCTTCTTCTTCACTGTGGGGCAGATTTTCCCACCAGAACAGTATTCCTCACTCTGACTGAGCAAACCCTTAGTAGCATATATTAATAGAATTATAACTTCCTGTGTGCCCCACCCTGTGATAGAGAAGTTATTTGGCTTTTGCCCAAGCCAGAGATGTATTGTAGCTAAGCAGGAGCCCTCTTATAATTCTCTTTGGAAATGGCACTTGACATGAAGCAAAGTTAAAACAGAAATGTCAATTTTATTCAACAAGCACGGGTTAGGAATAGGCAGGGGATGAGAAGTTGAGGTAAATTTTGTTGTTTATACAAATTATAATATTTCAAACAGGCAACAGAGTATAGTTGAAGCTTTGAGAGGTTTGTTTGTCTTGGAGATTTCTTTTAGCAACAATGTGTCTTGATAAAATTTCATATAACTTGAGTTTTCTGGAAGTTAGTACTTTCTTCCTATATTTAAATACCTTCCTCATGGGATTACAACTTTCCCTTTGGACTCTTAAGGAGTCTAAGACCATTTCCCTTTTCACATGAACCAGGGGTCCCTTCTGAGTTGAACCCTTTGAATAACTGGGTAAGAAATATCCTCTTCTTTCCAGGAGCAATACTCCTTTTCTGTTTGGCTAGACTGGCAGTTTTCAACCTACTGTCCAGTCTCTTCTGTCAAACCTAAATCCCAGTTCTGGAGACTCTGAATAAACGGAATTCAACTGGGGATGACACTTAGACTTTAAGTTCTGATTTCTGAACTTTTCCTCAAATGTGATGGTCGGGCCCATTAGTGCCCACGGGGCCTGGCCCCCTGCGGTTTTTATGGGACCCCCTCCAATCCTGGGCTCCCACTCCCCGCCGCCTGCTGCTGCTCCCTCAAAAAAAAAATCAACCCCCCCCCCACCAAGTGCAGAGCCAAGGTTTCTGGCTGGCTCTCACGCTCCCTCCTCCTCCTTCCGCGGCGGCACTGCTGGCGGCTCCTTGCTGGATCAGAGCCGCTGCGAGGAGCAGAGCCGGCGGTGCCGGGGAGACAAAGGGGGCTGGATGGCGGGCGATGGGGACACACACAGAGAGGCTGGGAGGGAGGAGGGTGGGCAGGGCGGGGGCTTGGCCTGCGCAGGGGCAGCAGACATGAGGCAGCTCCGCGGGGCTCGGTTACCGAGCCATGAGGGTGTCACACTCCGGGCCACGGGGAGAGGGGGCTCTCTAGATGCCCTGCAGACAATACAGCCGGGTCCCTCCTGCCCAGAACCTGCCCTGGTAGCCATTCGCCGAGAGAGGTGGAGACCGAGAGAGAGAGAGCGCCCCGGCGTGCCCGCAAGACCTGAGGGCTCATCCGCGGTGCCAGAGCTGTCCCTGCTGTTGGTGGCGGTGCTCTCCTCCCCCCTCGGTTGCAGCTGGGGCTGGAGTCCCAGCAACTAAATTGAAGTTAATTTAATTAACTTTGATTGGCTGGTGCCCCCCCGGCCCCCTCCCCAAAAACTCCTTAGCTACGGGGCTGGTGATGGTACACAGTAAGGGCAAGGAGTTGTGATGCTTCCCAAGTGAACATGTCTGTTTCCCTCAGACTGACACACACACTCCTCCTGACTGGCTACTGCCAAGCCAGAGTCCAAAAGGATGACTGACTCTTGACAAGATTGAAAAGACTTTTTAAAGCTCTCCTCAGCTGTTGCAGACCAATCAGAGAGAAAGGAGTGCAGGCAGGCAGCAGCCTGTCAATCAAACTGTGCTTCACAATGAGACTTTAACCCCTAATCTCTCAGTTCACTGCTTTTGATGTACTAAGCATCCTGCTTTTGGAGGTCAGTTTGTCATAAGGGTCCCTGGAATTTTGTTCCTCAAGTGCCCCCACGCCTTGTTAATCCTGGCTGGCATCTAGGAATCAGAAACATGTCTTTCTGGCCAATGTAAAATTTTCAGAGCACAAACTCCCAAAATGCATAGGATGTTCATGTGCATTTTATTTTTTTAAACAAACTGCATCCAGAAACAAACAAAAAACCCCTTGCAAACAGAAGTATGAAAGCAGGCCAAACTGAGATAGCCATATGAATGCAATTATACAAATAAAGTCATGAATTGTAATTTAGTATTTATATAGCACAAATACATGCTCTCTCTATACATATTCCCCAAGTGCACAAATTTGTTTGCATACATTTCAACAATCTTTACAAGAAGCTTATAAAATAGTCCAGTATTATTGATGCAACATTAATACCTGCCTAATCCGTCCCTCACACAGGGCTGATCAGCCCCCCCCAAAAAAAACATCAGAAGCTGCAGACAAACATCTCACCCTTGTTCAGATACAGGCACAATTTTGGGATGATTCCTAGATGCTCTTGATGTGTTCGGCACTGCAGCGCAATATGAACAAGTGCCTCTATTCTAGCCAAATATAACCTGCTGTGGTGATACTCCTTCAGAATAATTTCATGGATTTTTAAGGGCCACACAATTCCTCTCCCTTCCTACAGGAAGGACAACTGCACATTGCAACTTTCCTTCAGCCAACCTCTGGGCTTCCTTTACCTACCTCCTAAGACCATCTCTTCCCACTCAACTTTCAGTCCTATCACTCCCCAGCTACCAACACAACTCTTCTGGTTTCTAGGTGATGTATTACGACATCTGTCACAAAAGATTAGCTATGTAGATAACACAAAGTACGGAAATGCTGTGGCAAGAAGGTGGTTGACCCATATGTAACTAAACTGGACATCATCTGCATTGTCAAAGCTGCAATTATAAGCCGCCTTCTACACCAGTTTCCCAGGGAAGCATTCAAAATGGAAGCCAGGATTCTGATATGAAAACATCCCTTTGCCTACGTGGAATAGCTGTTTGTAAACAGAAGGAAAAACCAGGACCACTTCATACATTCAGGTACTTATTTAGATGCATCATCTCAATCAATCTCCAGTCCTGTATCTACCATCACATTTTAAACTGCTCGTTCAGCTTTTTAAGGTGCCTTTGTGTTCCTGTTGGTGCTAGAAAGAAACTAAATCAATATGTGGTCAGAGCAGGGATTCAAATTTGGGTCTTCCAGATCCTAGCCCAACATTCTAGCAACTATACCACACTAGCTCAGCTGGATGCTCTAGGCACCATTTGATATTTTCTCCCTGGCAGAACACCAAGGTGGCAGTGCAGGTGGTATGAAGAAGGTTAGTTCTGTCTCCTGCTGGCCCATCATATTTATGATGATGATCTAGTAGTAAATAATAACGCCTAGTATTTATTAGTGCTTAAGTGTTCAACAACCACATAATGAGACTTTATTAGGAGGAGGCATGCTCATTAGTGCTTAAGTGTTCAACAACCACATAAAACAGGTCAGTATTATTACTGATGGAAGGGATGAAGTCAAAAGATCATGCCCAAGACTCAAGGTGACCTCATAATTGTGGACTTCGAGTGCACAGCTGGTGCTCTGTAATCAATCAGCTAGTGCACATTGGCTGCATCCCTATAGCTCATATTTCCAATATGAACCTCAGTAATGAAGAAGTCATCTCCTCACTGGCCTTTTCTGCATAAAATGCCAACAGATACTGCAGCAACGCTAGACCTTTACTGGGTTTAGTCTGATAGCATATTTGTGAGTAGTGAGCCAATCCAAGTATGCACCTTGGCACTACTGTACTGTCAAAACCACTCAATTATGTATAATTTATGCATCACTCATGTGTGCTTTGCAAACACATACTTTGCCTGCTGTTCATGTCATACCATAAGCATACCAGAAATTCCCCTGCCCAAATTATATGTATGACTATTTTATAAACAAAGGATCAATGTAGTGATATAAATAATAAAGATTCAAAGGTTTAAAAAGCACTTTGGGGTCCAGGCCATCGAAGAAACATGCTAATACTTCTGATTTTGCCACATCCCTGGATACAAAAGTTACCCTGAGAATTAAGCAGCTTTCGACTGAGAAGAGAAACAAAGAGGGCTAAGCAGCCACAAAACTATTTTAAAATACTTAACAGCTGCATTTTAAAGAGTAAAACAAAGCCCCATATAACTCACAACAACCGACTGTGTTTAAATCAGCAAAAATTAGTGTAGGTTCCTATTAAAAACATAGCAGATGATAAACCAGATCTTGGATCATAAAACGCATTGAACCAATTGCCATTTCTGCCTTATGTACTACTGGCCACAAAGAAGTAGTAAGGAAAGGCTGAATAAAGAAAGAGGAAAAAGAGACTGGATGGAGAAGAAAAAGTCTACTTAATTCCTACTGGATACTCCTTCATTTCCAGGGTATTAGGAGGAGGCATGCTCATGATTACTACGGATGAAAGGAAGTGGCCAAGGGGTAAAAGATGGGACTTCTTCAGCTTACAATTTGTGCTTTGACTCTACCAAGAGCTAAAGGGCCAGCCTAACAGCTTAACCTATTTGGCTTAAGATGCCAAGAACTTGGGGATTCATCTTTAAGGTGTCACACAAATCCTGTTTATTTTTTTGCTACCTCACAGCATTCTTATTGAGGCTGAAACACCTTTAAGCTCCTTCAAAACAGGTACCAGCTCTACTAAGGAGAGAGAGAGCAGCTATATTTATCAGGGGCAGTACCAGAGTTCATGTCAAACAGGAAAATGTCAGCCAGGAACATGATGGCCCCAAATTTTACAGACAAT